CAGTCATCATAGCACCTTGCCTCATCAACTGTGACGCAATTGCTAGAAAAGTAGGAACACAATGTCAATAACAATCACAACTGCGCCCAATTTACAAGCACTAAAATTCTCAAAGAAACGGAAAATAGCAGGGATTTCATCTAGAAAGATTACTTGAGGTAAACCAATCCTGAATTGCAGTGCTCACTGCAATTAGATGTCTAGATTCCCATTGCAGTGCATACCTATAAGTAATCACTTTAGATCCATATCACATTCGGAGTACAATGATGCATTTCTTAAGAAAGTGATGATACGGAAAGCAGCAATATTTCCAAATTTGATGGGGTGATATAGATGTTCTCACCTCTCCAAGTTGTCAATTTGTCCTTCCCAGGGCTTGAAGAAATCCTCCTCATCGAAGATAAATCCTGATATCATGATTTCAACAGCCAGCCGCTGGCAGAGAAATTTAATTATTAACAGATGTAAACTGAAAAAAAAAACTAGAAACACGAGTCAAAACCAAGCAGTTCTAGAAAGCAAGTCCAGTATAGAAATTTTGATGCTGATAAGCAAAGCTTACGCCTTGGTTATGGCTGTCTCCCATGGCTTTGAACTCAAATTCTTCTATGCTACCAGTTCGCGTAGCCATTTTGGTTCCTACCAGTCCAGCTCCAGCGGCTAGCTTAATTGAATTTGCCAAACAGAATGCCAAAAAGTTAGTAATTACATCACATGGGAAGGTAATTTATTACTATTGTGCTATAGTCGACAATAACTGGAGAAACTAAAAGAAATCTAGTTGTCAAGGAAGTGGTGAACTGCAGATATGTTGCCTAGACAATAAGAATCAATGAATTTTCTGTGTAAATATAAGATTGACTGTAGAGAACTCACTAGATTATTCTAAACAAAATCCTCCATAACCTCCAAAGACATGAAAGATAATGTCTCTTAGGTTAAGTGTCAATTTGATGCCAACTTAACATCGTTAATGACAATCATTTCATGAGAGACATATGCAATCATTGACTCATTGTCTGTTTACAGGAAGAGGATAGAGGATGAAAGGAGAATAAACCAAGACATATTAGACTAAACCTGCTTTGACAAACATATTCAACCTGCGTTAAAAGAGTCAGCTACTTGGATAACAAAGTAGAAAATCATGATGGTTTCCATTCAGTCCAACACTTAGCAGGGTTCATACAAATCCAACAGCACAACTCCAAAATGTCAGAGATGGAATCTCTTGTATTTCAAATGTCAGCTTATCGGTCTATTCCAAGAATGTAAAAAGAAAATGGCTTTATTGGTGCATATGGAAAGACGACAAAGCCTCACAGAAAAATAAAGAGACAACGCAAGCGATGGTCAGACATTCACCTCCAAACGATGCAGCGACAGCAACAGAACCAGCTACAGTTCCTGCGGCGGTTGCAGCTGCTGCGAACCCACTTGCTCCGATCACAGGTATAAGAGTGCCCAGAGTTGGAGCTAGAGCGCCAAACCCTGCTGCAATTGCAGGGGCAGCTAATCCTGTGGTGTGAAAACAATGTGAACAAAAACAGAAACTGGTTGAATGGTGGGTTATAGGCTCAAGTCATACCTTATTCAAAAAAATAAACAGAAATCAAATATATTTGGCAAACAAGAGGGCATCATTACCACCAGTGATAGCCATTAAGGCTCCTCCAGTTATTGCAGCAGTAGTAATGATACTGGCACGCTTGATTTTCGCCCATCTTCCTTCAGCAGATGAGGTTCCCCCCTTCACCTCTTGCTGTTTCAGTATAGCCATTGCCGAGCAAGCTACCATGGTCTCAACGGCTTCCTATGAACAAAGCAAGAAGACGTGGACATTAACCTACTGTACAACATTATTTGACTGCTAATATTTTCACAAACACGCAGCATCACTTTGACAATGTCTTAATCAAGAACAAATATCAATCAATCACTACGAACCATTTTTATCCAACTGATGTCAAGCCAAGTCGACAGCAATCTCAAAGCCAAACGATGCCTAGCATCGTAACCCTTTCTTCGCCTAGTACTCGACTTGTTATCATTATACTTATCTGTGAGGCAAGCTGAAAGAAGCTCATAAAGAACTGTAATTTTCCTGTGGTAACTAATCATTGTTACTTCTTCAATGGGTTTATCATCAACTTTGATGGCAGATTCTTTATCCAGGCTACGAGGACTATGAGAATTAGGTGAACTACTGGCACTTTCCTGTGGCGTTAGAAAGGGTACATTTGGAGCATCAGAATCAGGTTGCCCATTGTCAGAGGCCAATTTCTCACGACACTCATTTTCATACTCCCGATGCTTCTTCTTCTTAGACCTGTATGACACACGTACTGTCTCCATGGTTTGTTCCGTAGCATCAATAGCTTTTGCCAGGGCAATCTCTTTATCTTCGTCTTTAGAAGGGGCATTGCTGTCTTCCGCAAGTAACCTCAAGAACTGGGAACATCCAAAGAAGACATAATAATTTTTTTCATAATCCTTCTGATGGAAATAACCAACAAAGAGACAATGTGAAATCAAAAGAGAAACGTACAGCTCCAATATGACGCCTAGCTCCAGCAGAGCCAGCAGTCTCCTCCAGTCCAGACCACGCTGAAGTATCGATCTCCAGAAATCTGTTCAATAGAAAGTTCAATTCAATCACAACTACCAAAATACAGACTGCTTGAACTGAAACTGTGCTGATCAGCATCCGATTCAAACAGAACCATCAATTCGAATCAGACGAGTGGCTTTTCAGCTACAGTTGCCAAAACCTATCCAACTCAATGGTCGATCTAGAGCGAATAGCAGCACCATGATCAAGAAGGGGGAAAAAGATAACAGAATCAAGAAGCAATCGGAAGTATGGGAAGAGGAATTGGAACCTGAAAACGATGCGAAGGAGGCCGGATTTCTCATGGACCCAAAGTTCAGGGTCCTCGGAGACAGAATTGCCACTGCTACTACAGGAACTGGCTCTATCGGCGTCGGCGGGGTCTTCCCCGAAGAACAAGCCCAGCGGGCGGGTTTGATGGATCTGTGCTTGGTGAAGAGCTAGCGCGAACAATGCTCCGGCGGCGTACCTCTGCGTCGGAGGCAGAATGGATGGAGTTGAAGTGTCCATAAAATGAAATCAGAATTTCAGCCCCGATAAGAAAAGCGGCAATCTCTGCTATATCATTTCTGATTTCTTCGCAGCTACAGAAAGTTGAAGAACTGCGGGTTCGAGTTGGCAACGGAGAGCGGTTTGAATTGGGAATTGAAATAATATTATAGGCTAAAGAAACCCTTAAAAGTTAAAATGATACTAGTTTTGAGCCCGGCCTGCTAGCCGGTTGAGACACCGAATAAATAGACTTGAGTTTTTATTCCTTGAAGCCAAGATATTCCACCAGACATAGTTCGTGCCATCACGATTCACGGCGATCCCCTTACCTCGTATGAGAGTAGATGATAAGTTGATATGTTATGATACGTGTGATAGATGTTCATTGTCAAATCTGTTTACCACCTTGCGGTTTTGGTGGATAGACATGTTAGGGAGTGGCGACCCATGGTGAGTTGGATGGATAGAGCAAGTTGGATGCAGATGTGGGAACTCAAGATTCCGCCTAATCTAAAAATGTTCCTGTGAAAAAATTTCAATCGTATTCTGCCTACTACTGAAGCTCTAATTGAGAAAAGGGTCCAGATTTTGCCTCGATGTCCGATGTGTTGGGCGGAATTTGAAACGATGGAGCACCTCTTTTGTTGACCCAACCGGCTCAGATTATGGCTCTGGTTGCGCTCCTGTGGCGTATTTGGAAATCTAGAAACTGGGTTGTCTTTGAGGGCAAACATTTTTTTGTTCCTCGGCTGATGTGTCAATACCATCAGCAACTCCATGAATGGGTGTCCATAGCAGGGGATAGGTTGGTCGGGGATTGGTTTCCTTTGCAGCAGAATCTGGAGGTGGTAGATTCGCCCTCTGTCATCTGTATGTGGGATGGTGTGGTACGTGCTGGCTCACATTGAGCAGGAGGGTTGATCTTAAAGTATGGTGGAGGGTCTGTAGTCTTAGCAAGAAGAATGGTTTCCAGAATATTGTTGACCCTCTTGTGGTGGAGACGATTGTCCTTCGTGAAACTATTCAGTGGTGTCAGGACCTTGTCATTGTTCAAGTGGTTTGAAGGTGATCCGAAGGTGCTCATTGATAAGATTAATGCCAATGATGCGCAAAACAACCGTGTTGGGGCTATTATTAAGGAGATTCCACGTATAATGGCTTTGAATAGTGGTTTTCATGTTCGATTTGTGGGTCGGATTAGCAATAGGGTAGCCCATTATGTGGCTAAGAATACCCTTTCTTTGCCTCCGACTTCGTGTCGATTGTATGATTTTAGTTCCTGGGGTGTGTCCAGAGTGTAATCCGTGATCTTTTTATGAGTAAATGTGATTATCTTTTGTTAAAAAAAGCCAAGATGTTCCACAAGTTATCATTCCATGAAGCTTCTGTTGGAAATGTATATGAATAGCTTTGAAAGCTATAGAGTCTCAAGTGGAAAAACTACCACATTGATAGTTTTACTTGGTGAAATGGGTATAAAGATAGGAGCCTCTCTCCCAAGGGCATTGCCCCTTGGGGTGACCCACTTTTGTGGGAGAGGGAGGACCTAACGGACCACCACACACACGCGCGCGCCGTCTGTCCGTCCGACCGGCCGGCCGGTTGGTTGGTTGGTTCACTTGAGACTACATATATATTTTTTACAGAAATTCCGAACGAAATTAATTATCTAATAATTAATTATTAATCGGTTATTCTGAGGAATATTCTAAGGGATAATCGACTGAAAAGGAATATTCGAAGGATAATCCCTCCGGGTTTATCTTAACCGACGGTTTTAATTAAGGAAGTAATTATCTTCCTTAATTAATCCGACTTATTCCCCAAGCAAGAGGGTATATTCCTAGGGGTTCGGCTCCTATAAATAGTCGCCTCCCCAGCCCCTCTAATCACATCACAACGAGCAGAAACACAATAGAGAGAGTGTTTAGAGAGCTTCGGTTTTCGCACAAAATCGCGAGTATTGAGAGGAGCTGTTTTATCCTGGAGACGACCGGTTGATAGTCTGCCGTGCGCATCGAAGGCAGTGCCGCGAACGTCTTAAAGAGAGCGACCTAGTCCGCGACTCAGCTCCAGATTCGGTAACCTCGTTCTTTTTGTTGTTCCGTTCCTAACAATTTTAAGACGTTTGGCTGCTGCTATGTCGACTGAACAGAACAACATGGCCGGATCTGGTGCTGTCGATATCAATCGACCCTTTCGCTTCGTTGGGGTCAACTTCCGTCCCTGGAGGCAAAAGATGGAGTTCTACCTGACGACCAAAAAGCTGGCCCACTGCCTCACCAGCATGCCCGTCGAGCTGCCGGAAGAAGCGACCGATGAGGAGAGGGCTGCTTCTGCCAGGGAAAGGGAGCATGACTTCCTGTGCAAGAACTACATCCTCAATGGCCTAGCAGACGATCTCTACGACTACTATGCGGACAGTAAGAACACCGCGATGATGATCTGGGATGCGCTCCAAAAGAAGTACGACACGGAGGAGGCTGGAGCTAAGAAGTATGCTGTCAGCCGCTACCTGCGCTACCAGATGGTGGATGACAAATCCGTCGAAGTTCAGTCCCACGAACTTCAGAAAATAGCTCATGAGATCGTCTCTGAAGGTATGCCTCTGGACGATCAATTTCAAGTTGCTTGCATTATTGATAAGCTGCCCCCTAAGTGGAAAGATTTTAAGAATATGCTTAGGCACAAAACCAAAGAATTTTCACTGGAAAGCTTGATTACTCGCCTAAGGATTGAGGAAGAGTCCCGCAAGCAGGATATGAAAGAAGAGGTGATGGTCGTCACTGCTAAACGACCCACCCCTAGAGCTCTTAAACCTAACCAGAAAGGGTTTAAGAGTAAGAACCAGCATGTCCGCCCCCACCAGAATGGTGCCTCTCGAGGTAACCAAAGGGTCATGGCCCAAACCTCTAAGAATGACCCACCGTTTATCTGCTATAACTGTGGAAAACCGGGTCATATGGCAAAGAAGTGCCGGAACAAGCAAAACCCTACCGCTGCGGCCAGGGTTAACTTGACAGAAGAGGATTTGATAGCCATGATCACAGAAATGATCGCTGAAGTTAACCTCACCGGTTGATATGATTTCATTTGGATCGGTTTACAAGATTGGATTGCTTGAGCAAGAAGCACACTTCATCACTAACAAGAACCTTTATTTTTGTCCAAGTATTTTACATGTTCCGGGTACACTACTTTGCACATGTGCAACTCGGGATACGTTCAATGAAATGAGGCGAATGGTGGCTTGTTTGGGACCTGGGAAGTTTCTCTACAAGAAGGAATGGTTGGGAGCTCAAGGAAGAACTAGAAAGGCCACTTTTAAACTCTCTCAAAACCCTATGTCAAAACTGGGAATTGGCCAGGAATTGGCTAAGGCATGGAACGTGGCCATCAAGGTGACTTTGAGGCTTTGTCTGAGACTCTTGGATGAACGTCGAGCCTGGAAGCTTATACCACATGAGAGTACAGTTCATCTACTTCAACGGCGGGGCATTGGTTAGAAGAATTGAAGATTGGAAGGCTTCCTACGAAACCCAGCAAGGTCGCATGAAGCCTCATGGAAACTGCCTTGCTACACCACCAGTCCGAGTCCCTGGAGGATTCAGTTTGTCTTTACCTTTTTTCCGTTTGAAGTTGGGTTTACAAGTTTGTTTGTGATTTGGAGTCCTTATTAGTTTGAGTAGTTATCTTAGCTATATTTAAAGACGTCCAGTACATTGTAATAGGCAGATCTTAATTAATAAGAATACAACCTTGAGTTTGAATTCACCTAGTTAGCTACGTGAGTTGAGTGAGCGGCTTGGAAGGAATTCTAAGTTGTTGGAGAGCTTGTATCGATCAATAACCACCTTGATCGTGGCCGAGCAGCAACCTATCTATTTCGAGCCTTCTTCCCTTGCGTGTGGGATTGCACGAAATCGACCGTCTTCATCTTTCAATCAATCCATAGTCTTGACGAGTTCAGGGAGTGAGCTGCCCTCACTTCGTGAGGCTTGATTATGAACCAAAGGCCTTCTCCCGGGCCATATTAAGTGGTAATCAGAGCCCGGTTCATACGCAGTGGGCAGGACGAAGAACCTCGTTGGGGGAACCGCGCCTTGGACAAGATCGAAGGGCTCCGTCGCCGACGATCCTGAAGCTATAAGCAGAAATTCACAGGAAGAAGCAGGGCTTGAAGGCGAGTTTGCAGCAGAAGAATTCGCAATGGCGGGACAAACCATTGACATAGAGGAGTTGATGCGCCGATTTGACACGAGCCTAAATCAATTCAGGCAGGAGATCAATCAGAGGATTGACACCATCGTTCGGCTGGAAAACAGAGATCAAGATGGGGATGCTCGAGACGACGAAAATCCCAATGGCAATCCAGCGTTAGTAGATCGAATTGAGGAGCTTGAACGGCGATTAGTGGTGGCTGAACCCAACCGTGAGCGTCATCGACGAGAGAATCGAGACGAAGAGCCTATAATCCCACCTGGGATTAAGCTAACGATACCAGCGTTTCAGGGTACGGTGAACGCGACGACATATTTGGACTGGGAACGAAAAATCACCTTGTTTTTTCAATGCGGCCGTTACACAGACCAGCAGAAGGTAAGTTTAGCCACCTATGAATTCAGCGAGTATGCTGCCCAGTGGTGGGAACAGCTCCAAATTCGTCGCCGGCGAAATATGCAGCCACCGGTGACGACGTGGGAAGACCTGCGTGGTCTAATGAGGGATCGATTCGTCCCAGGGTACTACCTAAGAGAAGTTCATGACGCCTTGCAGAGTGTTCGTCAAGGATCAAGAACGGTGGAGGACTATTATCAAGAACTGGAGCTGCTCATGATGAGGGCTGACGTACGAGAAGACAGAGAGGCGACAATTTAAAGATTCCTACATGGATTAAATCGCGAAATCCGCGACGAAGTGGAGCTAAGGAACTTCAACGACCTAGAGGAGGTTGTCCACCTCGCTGTGAAGATCGAAAAGCAGCAGAAGATGCGATCAGGGCGGCGTTTTTCCTCGACAGTAAAGACAGCAGCAGATACAAGTGTAGAAGCTAACTCACCTCCAACAAGACCCGAAACTGCCAAATTGGTTCCCAAGACCCTAAATCCAGTTGCTACTGAAAGAACCGGGGGAATCCAGTGCTTTAAGTGTCATGGACGAGGACACAAAGCAAACCAATGTCCAAACGTGAAAGCTTTGGTAATTCGTGATGGCGAATACCTCACCGACGAGGAAAAGAATTTCGATGAGGAGGAGATTGATGAAGAGATAATTATGGAGGCCGAAGCTGCACCAGGAAAATTGAGTTGCGTCAACAGAAGAACCCTCACCATAGGTGTTCATTCAAACTCTGAACAACGAACTAACCTGTTTCATTCCAGGTGTACCGTTAATGGCGAAGTGTTGTCATTAGTTATCGATGGGGGAAGTTGTGCTAATGTCGTAAGCTCCGACGTGATCAAGAAACTTGGCGTTAGCACGACCAGACATCCAGAGCCCTATACATTGCATTGGCTAAATGACTACGGTGCAATCAAAGTCAACAAGCAAGCCAAAATCAAGTTCGAAGTCGGCCCATATCAGGACGAGATCGTTTTTGACGTTGCACCAATGCAAGTTGCACACCTTCTGCTTGGACGTCCTTGGCAGTTTGATCGAGGAGTCTGTCATGACGGAAGAACCAACTGCCATAAGTTCAAGCATCAGAATCAGTATATTCTGCTCAAACCCCTGAAGCCTGCCGAAGTTCACGACGACCAACGCCAGATGGAAGCCCACTGGCGGCGGCAGCCAAGAATTCCAGTGGGGGAGAGCTCGAAGCTTCCAAGGATGTTAATTTCATCACCCACCGATTTATGCTAACAGCGTACAAAAAGGAGAGGCAACCTCGACGTCGTCGAAAGAAGTTGCTCTGTTCAATGTCGCCTGGGCAGGGGAAGAAAGAGGGTGAATTGGGTGGGGCGTTGGAGAGCAGCCCAAATGGAAAGGAGGATATCGACACAACCCTTGTGTCTCCAGGAAGCTTCTCCACCAATCTGATTGGGACGGCGGTCACCGGGTTCCAGGATCCAAGTCGAACCAAAGTTACTCTGGAAACAAGCAAGCGCGACCCAAAATTGGCTCTATTGGTTGACAACAATGAGAGCGAGTCGACGCAAATTATGGGTGTAGATTTGTTGGCAAGGCTCACAGGAAGCTATGGGGATGATCAATTGAAGCTGAGAATGATCGAGGTTGAAACGCCTAAATCAAAGGCAAGGGTGCTGAGTTCCACGATTTTAAAAGACGGCGTTGGCGGGAAGAGAGGGAATAATGATTTGACGATGATAACGACGATTCGAGCGAAGCGACTTGTCCAGAACGCAAATTGGGAGTATGAAAAAGCTCTTGATGGCGGTCAATTGAAGTGGAGATGCCTATATCAGAAAACCCCAATTCCATGGATGAAGAACTTTGACCTTGTTTGCCAGAAATTTGAGTTGGAACAGGCCTTTGTCGACCCCATTTGGGACCAGTTCTGTGAGCGATTTGAGAATACTAAGAGCCAAGTGTTGAGGGCAACACTTTTTCAAGAGGGAGGGCCTGATATGATTTCATTTGGATCGGTTTACAAGATTGGATTGCTTGAGCAAGAAGCACACTTCATCACTAACAAGAACCTTTATTTTTGTCCAAGTATTTTACATGTTCCGGGTACACTACTTTGCACATGTGCAACTCGGGATACGTTCAAAGAAATGAGGCGAATGGTGGCTTGTTTGGGACCTGGGAAGTTTCTCTACAAGAAGGAAGGGTTGGGAGCTCAAGGAAGAACTAGAAAGGCCACTTTTAAACTCTCTCAAAACCCTATGTCAAAACTGGGAATTGGCCAGGAATTGGCTAAGGCATGGAACGTGGCCATCAAGGTGACTTTGAGGCTTTGTCTGAGACTCTTGGATGAACGTCGAGCCTGGAAGCTTATACCACATGAGAGTACAGTTTATCTACTTCAACGGCGGGGCATTGGTTAGAAGAATTGAAGATTGGAAGGCTTCCTACGAAACCCAGCAAGGTCGCATGAAGCCTCATGGAAACTGCCTTGCTACACCACCAGTCCGAGTCCCTGGAGGATTCAGTTTGTCTTTACCTTTTTTCCGTTTGAAGTTGGGTTTACAAGTTTGTTTGTGATTTGGAGTCCTTATTAGTTTGAGTAGTTATCTTAGCTATATTTAAAGACGTCCAGTACATTGTAATAGGCATATCTTAATTAATAAGAATACAACCTTGAGTTTGAATTCACCTAGTTAGCTACGTGAGTTGAGTGAGCGGCTTGGAAGGAATTCTAAGTTGTTGGAGAGCTTGTATCGATCAATAACCACCTTGATCGTGGCCGAGCAGCAACCTATCTATTTCGAGCCTTCTTCCCTTGCGTGTGGGATTGCACGAAATCGACCGTCTTCATCTTTCAATCAATCCATAGTCTTGACGAGTTCAGGGAGTGAGCTGCCCTCACTTCGTGAGGCTTGATTCTGAACCAAAGGCCTTCTCCCGGGCCATATTACCGGTGACTCAGAAGGATGGTGGCTGGATACAGGTGCATTGAAGCATGTATGCAACAACCGTGCTATGTTTAAAACATACACAGAAGCACCTGCTGACAAGAAAGTGTTGTTGGGGACTACTCACACCACTATGGTTGCTGGTTCTGGTGAAGTGGAGTTGAACTTCACCTCTGGGAAGAAGATGGTGCTCAAGGATGTGTTGCACACTTCAGAGATAAGGAAGAATCTTGTTTCGGGATATCTTCTTAATAAGGCTGGGTTTAATCAATCTATTGGGGCAGACTTGTATACCCTTACTAAGAATGGGAGTTTTGTGGGAAAGGGATATGCATGTAATGGGATGTTCAAGTTGAATGTCGAAATTAATAAGATGAATTCTTCAGTTTACATGGTGTGATTTGAATGTCTGGCATGCGCGTCTTTGTCATGTGAACACACGTATTGTGAAGAATTTAAGCAAGCTAGGACATATCCCTAAACTCTCAATGAATGAATTTGATAAATGTGATTTCTGTAGCCAAGCTAAAATAACGAAAACGCCCCATAAATCAGTGAGTAGAGAATCAGAACCCTTAGATCTTATTCATTCTGATATTTGTGAACTAGATGGGACGTTAACTAGGTCTGGCAAGAGATACTTTATCACTTTCATAGATGATTGCTCTGATTATTGCTTTGTTTATTTGATGAAAAACAAAAGTGAAGCCCTTGATATGTTCAAGGTATTTGTGGTTGAATTTGAAAATCAGTGCAATCGAAATATAAAAAGACTTAGGAGTGATAGAGGATCAGAGTATGAATCTAATCCCTTCAAGGAATTCTATAGCTCACATGGTATCATTCATGAAACCACGGCACCATATTCACCAGATATGAATGGTAAAGCTGAGCGGAAAAATAGGACGTTTACAGAATTAGTTGTGGCTATTATGCTCAATTCTGGAGCTGCTTCTTCTTGGTGGGGTGATATTTTGTTGACAGTTTGCTATGTGCTAAACCGTCTTCCAAAAACAAATAGAAAAGAATCACCCTATGAGATCTTGAAGAATAAGCCACCTAATCTGTCCTAATTAAGAACGTGGGGCTGTTTGGCCTACGTAAGAATTCCGGATCCTAAGAGGATTAAATTGGCTAGTCGAGCATATGAGTGTGTCTTCGTTGGCTATGCGGCCAATAGTAAGGCATATAGATTCTATGATTTGAATGCTCGTACTATAATAGAATCCATTGATGCTGATTTCTTTGAGACACGATTTCCATTTAAAACGAGAAATAGTGGGGGTAATGTACTACCCGCTATTAGAGATAACGGAACTAGTGGGGGTGTTGGTTCTGAGGATGAACTCAGAAGAAGTAAAAGAGCTAGAATCTCTAAAGATTTTGGTGATGACTTTACTACAGTATTCACCCTCGAAGATCCAAAAAGTTTGCAGGAAGCATTAACTTCCGTAGATGCAGATTTTTGGAATGAGGCCGTTATAGATGAAATGGAATCGTTAGAAGCTAATAAGACTTGGCATCTAACAGACTTACCTCCTGGCTGCAAAGTCTTAGGTAATAAATGGGTTCTAAAAACGAAACGGAAACCTGATGGTGCAATTGAAAGGTTCCGAGCTCGCCTAGTAGTTAAGGGCTACAGGCAGAGAGAGAATATAGATTTCTTCGATACCTATTCACCAGTATCAAGAATAACATCCATTCGTGTAATGATTGCTCTTGCTGCCTTGAACAATCTCGTGGTATACCAAATGGATGTTAAGACCGCCTTTTTGAACGGAGATCTGGATGAAGAAATCTATATGGAACAACCAGAAGGGTTTGTTATCCCCGAACATGCCTCGAAAGTCTGTAAGTTAGACAAATCATTATATGGTTTGAAACATGCTCCAAAACAGTGGCATGAGAAGTTTGACACTCTCGTTCTCTCACATGGCTTTAAGGTGAATGAAAGTGACAAGTGTATTTACTGCAAGTCAGAAAATAACACTTGTACTATCATATGTTTGTATGTAGATGACATGTTGATATTTGGTACAAATATTCACGTGGTCAATGAAGCAAAAACCATGTTGAAAGAGAGCTTTGAAGTGAAAGATCTGGGAGAAGCAAAGTTTATGCTTGGAATCCAGATAACTAGAACAACAAATGGTTATTCTCTAGATCAATCTAGCTACATAGAGAAGATCTTGAAGAAATATAAATATTTCGACTGTAAACCTGCGTGTACTCCGTATGATGCTAGTGTAAAGCTATTTAAGAACACTGGAGACAGTGTAAGACAATCAGAATATGCTAGCATCATTGGTAGTCTCCGTTATGCTGCGGATTACACTCGACCAGACATTGCATATGTCGTGGGATTGCTTGGCAGGTTTAACAGCTGTCCTAGTAGAGAGCATTGGAATGCTATAGAGAGGGTCATGAGATACCTCAAGAGAACAGCAAACCTTGGTATACACTATCAAAGGTTTCCTGCTGTACTAGAAGGGTATAGTGATGCGGATTGGAATACCCTATCAGATGACTCCAAGGCAACCAGCGGGTATGTTTTTAACATCGCAGGTGGAGCTGTGTCTTGGAAGTCAAAGAAACAAACAATCCTAGCTCAATCAACTATGGAATCAGAGATGATAGCACTAGCAACGGCTAGTGAAGAAGCAAGTTGGTTGAGAGGATTGTTGTCAGAGATTCCCCTATGGGAAAGACCGGTCCCTCCGGTATTGATCCATTGTGATAGTACCGCAGCTATCGCTAAAGTTGAGAACCGGTTCTATAACGGAAAGAAACGACAGATTCGTCATAAGCACAGTACTGTAAGAGAACTCCTAACGATAGGAGCAGTGAGGGTGGATCATATAAGATCCGAACAAAATCTAGCTGATCCTTTGACGAAAGGATTACCTAGAGAGAAAGTCCAGAATACCGCCAAGGGTATGGGACTTATGCCTACCGAACCACGGACTACAAGTGATGGTAACCCGACCCAATAGACTGGAGATCCCAAGAAATGGGTTCAATGGGTAATAACAAGTCATGAGTAGTATGCGAAAAGTTCATGCATAGTGAAGCATGAATCCCAAAGCAATGGAGGCTGAGTTAATAACTCTTAATGAGATCTATACCCTATGTGGGGTGGAGTACTTTACTTTGGGGGTACTCTTGATAGACTCACCTATGTGAATGTGGGAGTGGGGCTGCTCCCTATGGAACTTTGGAGGCACAAAGTTGCTAGAGCGTTCACTAAACCAGGATAACGTGCATGGCCATAAACGCACGGGCTAAGAAGAGAACACAACTCAATGAAAAGATCCGGTGTGCTATACTGTCTGAGATAGGGTTCAAGACTACGAGTCACCCTTATGAAATCGGAAGTGTAACCACTACGCTAAGGTTCAAATCTTCGCGATACCTTAGCTTATGCCCGATCTTATGGAACTGTTAATGCTCAGAGATAGTTTCAAAACTATTCAAGTGGGGGATTGTTGGAAATGTATATGAATAGCTTTGAAAGCTATAGAGTCTCAAGTGGAAAAACTACCACATTGATAGTTTTACTTGGTGAAATGGGTATAAAGATAGGAGCCTCTCTCCCAAGGGCATGCCCCTTGGGGTGACCCACTTTTGTGGGAGAGGGAGGACGTAACGGACCACCACACACACGCGCGCGCGCGCCGTCTGTCCGTCCGACCGACCGGCCGGTCGGTCATTCGGTTGGTTGGTTGGTTCACTTGAGACTACATATATATTTTTTACAAAAATTCCGAACGAAATTAATTATCTAATAATTAATTATTAATCGGTTATTCTGAGGAATATTCTAAGGGATAATCGACTGAAAAGGAATATTCGAAGGATAATCCCTCCGGGTTTATCTTAACCGACGGTTTTAATTAAGGAAGTAATTATCTTCCTTAATTAATCCGACTTATTCCCCAAGCAAGAGGGTATATTCCTAGGGGTTCGGCTCCTATAAATAGCCGCCTCCCCAGCCCCTCTAATCACATCACAACGAGCAGAAACACATAGAGAGAGTGTTTAGAGAGCTTCGGTTTTCGCACAAAACCGCGAGTATTGAGAGGAGCTGTTTTATCCTGGAGACGACCGGTTGATAGTCTGCCGTGCGCATCGAACGCAGTGCCGCGAACGTCTTAAAGAGAGCGACCTAGTCCGCGACTCAGCTCCAGATTCGGTAACCTCGTTCCTTTTGTTGTTCCGTTCCTAACAGCTTCTTCTATGTTGAGTATATTCTAAGCAATTCCTTAGAAGCAACTAGATGCAATTTGACGTGGGATTTTAGTTGCATTGTCCATGATAGTTAAGTGCATAATATAAACTTCAGCAACATTGGCCAAACGTTATCATGCTTGCATATCCACCATTTGAGTCTCCGTATTCTCTACATTTCAAATTTTCTCTAACGGGACAAAAGTATAAATGGTTGATTTGTCTTTATTTATTATTCATAAAAAATACATCAATCATGGCAACCATGATTTTTTTAAACAAGGATATGATTCGTTATCAATTACACTAAACAAATTTATCTATCTTTTTATATAAAAATGATAAAGAAATTTAAAATCAACGGGGTGGTTTTTTATTTCAAGCGGGTTTGGATACAAGTTTTGTGGCGACATCTAAAGGGTCCGATTCAGGAGTGGCTAGGGATTCCTATCAGAAATGTCATGGAGCTTGTGGGAGTGAGTGCTTAGTGTCGACAGAGGGGGTAACAAGGCCACAAGTCGACTTGGTTGGTTCCTTTGATGGGGCGATTTGCGGTGTGTCTCATGCGGCGGTGGGCTTGGTTCTTCAGGATCAGACTGGGGTGATGACATGTGGGCTTCCTTTTGATGGGGCTCATGGCCCAACAATCCTGTAGCTGTGACATTAAGGAAAGCTTTTCATTGGTGCATTAGTAAGGGTCTCTCTGATGTGTGCTTGATGGGTGATGTTAAAGGGGTCATCGATAAGGTAAACACGGGGAGTGTGACCGATGCGTGGGGAGGTGCCATTTACCAAGAAATCAAGGTGATGCGGCAAGAACATCCGGCATTCTCAGTGCATTTATTTGGAAGACAGAACAATAGAGTAGTCCATCGGGTGCTTAAGAAGGCTCTAGCTTTGTCTTCATGGATGTACTTAGTTTTGATTTTTGCGCTTGACTCCGTATGGAGTTGTAAATGTTATGATCTTCATTTTCTTGATAATGCAAGCGATCTTTGGTTTTAAAAAATCAGATCAATGTCAAGTTGGATTTGATTCGCAAACAAAAATAAGAATTTCTATGATTTTTGTCTCCTTTAATTTATAGAAATAAACACAGGAAAATGCGACTCTCAAACATCTAGATTATCTACAAATATATAACATAGTTAAGAGTAGTTTTTCAACAATTAATTTTCCTTTAGCGGGAGCAAAAGTAGGATGGATAGGTAAGGCTGGTAGTGGTCGGTCAGTATTCGGTATTCGATATACCGGGAATTGAGAATATGGACGCCGAATACCGATACCGGATTTTAACTTGTATATCGGTATACCGGATAATCGGTATCCGGTACAAAACCGGTATCTGGTACAAATCTGTATCCCGAAACCTGATTGCAAAACCTCTTCGCTGCTATGCCCTGCAAATCAAAAGAAAGGTAGAAATCAGTTCAAAGTTAGCCAATCACTAGGGACAAGGGAGGGAGAGACTGAACACATTCAGGTGGGCATAATCACCTGAAACCCACCTTAAAAACCCTTCGTTGTCGGCCAGAATGGGGAAGAGTAAAAAATTACGCTGGCCGAAATTGCGTCTGCACACCACCGGAATCTCTGCCCTCAAACTCAGCAAACGTCGAACAGTTAGCTCCTCCTATGTTCTTCTCCTTTTTATGCGTTCTTAATCCTTCCTTTCTTCTTCTTCAATTCCTTCTTGAATTCCTCAATCGTTGTCGAAATTGAACCACTATCCGTCGGTTTCAAGCAGCGGCGACTGGCGGCGTGCCTCTCTTCGTCGGGGACTGCTGGTGGCTGGTGAAGAGAAGACGAAGGTGGAGAATGGGGTTTCGGATTTCGGGAGAGAATTAGACAAGGTCCGGTCACGGTGTGCAATGGGAGGCGAGGTCAGAGGCCTCCTGGTACTCTACTCGGTCATACCATCCCTCATCTGCAGAATCCAAATGAGCACTGCAAGGCCATTACCACAAGGAGTGGCAAGGTGACTGGTGATCCGCCTGTTCGGGCACAAGAGAGAGACCCCTGCTTCAGCACTTCTAGCTAATGAATAGGAAATGGAGAAGGAGGTTGAGGTGTCTGGTCCTAAACCGCAACCAGTGGCGAAGGAGTATGTACCCCAACTTTCCTTTCCTACTCGGTTGCACAAGGACCGACTGGAGACTGAGTTTGCCAAGTTCATGGCTATGCTGAAGCAGGTCAACATAAGCATGCCCTTCGTGGAGGCATTATCGAAGATGCCCAAGTATGCCAAGTTCATGAAGGATCTCCTCACCAACAAGAGGAAGCTTGGAGAGCTGACAACGGTGATGCTCAACGAGGAGTGTTCTGCCATCCTGCAGAACAAACTACCAGAGAAGCGAAAAGACCCAGGGAGTTTCACTATCCCTTGCATGATTGGTAGTTTTCATATAGGGAAGTCCTTGGCGGATTTAGGCGCTAGCATAAATGTCATGCCATATAAACTGTTTAAAAAGCTAGGCCTAGGTGAACCCAGTGATACTAGGATGAGCATTCAACTTGCTGATAGATTCATTGTGCATCCTAGGGGCATTGCAGAGGACTTGATAGTCGCAGTAGGGCCATTCTCATATCCGGTTGATTTTGTGATTTTGGACATAAATGAGGATGTGGATGTGCCATTAATATTGGGTAGACCTTTTCTCGCCACCGCCAAGGCGCTCATTGATGTGAATGATAGGAAATTGATTTTGCGAGCTAGGGGTGAACAAATCACCTTCTCTGTTTCTGATAATATGAAACACCCCCAGCTCCATGATGATCTAGACTACTGTGATGTTGTTGCTAATTTTGAGACCGCACTCGCCATCATGAGTGTGGGTACTGAGGATTTCCTTGAGCGTTGTCTTTTGCTAGGGTAACAGGCATCACAGGACGTGCAGCTGGAGGAGCATCTCGCGGAGCTAGACGAGGCCGCGATCGAGGGGCAAAAGATACTATTCAAGTCGATCCGTATCTCGCCCCGGATCGCTACATCATTGGAGGAGCCACCAGAGCTGGAGCCTAAGCCCCTCCCCTCTCACCTGGAGCATGCATTTCTCCGGGAGGGGAATAAGCTCCCGGTCATTATCAGCTCGAATCTGACACCCGAGCAGAAGAGCAGGCTAGTGGCTCTGCTGCAGAAGTATGCACGGGCCACGACATGGAAGATCACAGACATCAGAGGCATTAGCCCATCCTTCTGCTCCCACAGAATTCTGATGGAGGATGAGGTTAAGCCAGTCAGACACCCACAGCGGAGATTGTCTCCTAACTTGGAGGCAGTGGTTCGGGCAGAGATTGTGAAGCTCATGGATGATGGGATCATCTTTCCTATATCTGATAGCAAGTGGGTCAGCCCCACTGAGGTGGTCCCGAAGAAAGACGAGATGACTATGGTCCCGAATGAGAAGAAAGAGCTGATCCCGATGCGGACCGTGACCGGCTGGAGAGTCTGCATCGATTACCGGCGCCTGAACGATGTCACCAGGAAAGATCATTTTCCCCTACCTTTCATTGATCAGATGCTGGAGAGGCTGGCTGGCCATGAGTTTTATTGCTTCTTGGATGGCATGTCTGGTCATTTCCAGATTCCTATTGCACCAGAGGATCAGGAGAAGACCACATTCACTTGCCCCTTCGGTACTTTTGCTTACCGGAGGATTCCATTCGGGCTGTGTAATGCACCGGCGACCTTCCAGAGATGCATGATGGCGATCTTCGACCGACTGGTTGGAGAGATCATGGAAGTCTTCATGGATGACTTCTCGGTTTATGGAGACTCCTTCACTCATTGTCTCCATAACCTGGAATTCGTTCTGAAGAGGTGCGAGGAGACTAATCTGGCACTCAGCTGGGAGAAGTGTTATTTTATGGTCCGTGAGGGGATTGTGCTCGGGCACAAGATCTCCAAGTAGGGGATTGAGGTGGATCGCGCGAAGATTGAGACGATCAGTAAGCTACCTCCTCCCGTTTCTGTGAAGGGGATTCACAGTTTTCTGGGTCATGCAGGTTTCTACCGGCGCTTCATTAAAGATTTCTCGAAGATTCCCTGCCTCTGACCAAGCTGCTGGAGAAGGATGCACCATTCCAGTTTACTCCTGAGTGCACAGCTGCATTCGAGACTCTGAAGGAGAAGCTTACCCATGCACCTATCATGGTGACTCCTGACTGGTCTCTCCATTTTGAGCTGATGTGCGATGCGAGTGACTATGCAGTCGGAGCAGTTCTGACGCGAGAAACACTTCCAGTCCATCTACTACGCGTCCAAGACCTTGAACGATGCACAGGAAAACTACACCACCACTGAGAAGGAGCTCCTTGCTGTGGTGTATGCATTTGATAAGTTTCGACCCTATCTGGTGCTCTCCCATGTGGTGGTCTACACTAACCACTCGACGATTCGCTACCTGATGAGCAAGGCTGATGCAAAGCCTAGACTCATCCGCTGGATCTTGCTTCTGCAAGAATTCGATATAGAAATCCGGGACAAGAAGGGAGCCGAGAATGTTGCTGCAGATCATCTTTCACGGTTGGACGCCCCTCCGGTGGACAACTTCGTGGAAGAGATCGATGACTTCTTCCCGCGTGAGAGATTGCTGGCGATGACACTGGTGGACAGCGTGGTCCCTTGGTATTCTGACTTTGCCAATTATCTGGTGGGCAAGCAGCTACCAACGGGGATGGCCACTCATGCAAAGCGCAAGTTCTTCTCCGACCTGAAGCATTACTTCTAGGAGGATCATTACCTCTTCAGGATCGGAGCAGATGGCGTGATCTGACACTGTGTCATGGAGCACGAGATGTGTGACATCCTGTCTCAATGCCACGAGGGACCTACTGGAGGTCACCATGGAGGAAACCGCACAGCGCGGAAGGTGCTACAGTCGGGCTTCTATTGGCCCTCGCTCTTCAAGGATGCAGACACCTTCGCACGATAGTGCGACCGCTGCCAAAGGTCAGGTAATATTTCTGCCCGGGATGAGATGCCCCTACATATTTCTGTCATTTTTGAAATTTTTAATGTTTGGGGTATCGATTTCATGGGCCCATTCCCTCCATCTTTTGGCAATCTGTACATTCTGGTTGCAGTGGACTACGTCTCGAGGTGGGCAGAAGCTCAAGCCATGCCCACCAATGATGCAAGACGGGTCTGCTCATTTTTTAAGCAGCTGTTCTCCCGGTTCGGGACACCCCGCGCCATCATTAGTGATAAAGGAACCCATTTTTAAGGGCAATTCACTAAACTCCTTTCTCGCTATGGTGTTAAGCATCAGGTGTCGGTGGCTTACCACCCCTAGTCAAATGGGCAAGCCGAGCTGACGAATCGGGAATTTCAACGAATAATTGAAAAGACGGTGGATCAGTCCCGCAAGGATTGGTCCACCAAGCTCGATGATGCTCTTTGGGCATATAGGACGGCCTATAAAAACCCGATTGGCACTTCTCCCTATAGGCTTGTCTATGAGAAGGCGTGTCATTTGCCAGTACAGCTAGAGCACAAGGCCTTCTGGGCCCTTAAGCTGCTAAACATGGATTCGCGTGTTGTAGGTACTGAACGTAAGTTGCAGCTGCTGGAGTTGGAGGAATGGCGTTACCACGCCTACGAGAACACCCTACTCTACAAAGAGCGAACCAAGCGTCTCCACGAAGCTCGATTGAGGGGCCCGAAGGAGTTTCAGGTAGGTGATCGTGTCCTGCTCTTCAATGCACGCCAGAAACTCTTCCCGGGCAAGCTACGTTCGAGGTGGTCGGGACCCTTCACGGTCACCCAAGTTTTCCTGCACGGTGCGGTGGAGATCAGCAATGGTCAAACTGAGCCATTCAAGGTGAATGGCCACCTCCTAAAGTTGTACTTGGGGGGTGCTGTCGAGCGCACAGAGCTGCTGATCAAGCTCGAGGACCCTTAGTTTCTCTACTGGCGTCAAGCTAAAAGACGGTAAAGAAGAGCTTGTGAGGAGGCAACCCCACTACGGTTTGCAATTCTATCATTTTTCCTTTTCAATTTTTGTCGGTTTTTGAGTATGTGAGACTGTCTGGAGTCTTTCTGGAATGTTTCTCATGCCCCGGGTGGTCTATTTTTGTCTATGGTGGTGTCTATTTTCGAGCTGGGGCACGAATGGTTTTGGCTGTTCGAAATTGCGGTTTAAAAGTCGGAGAAAAGGGCCCTTGGCAGTGAAATTACGGGCAGGTGAGGACCAATTACGGTCATAATTTCCTTGCCCTTGCCCGTAATTAAGCTAGAAGAGGAAAAGAGACTCGGCAGTGCAATTACGGGCAGGATCCGACCAATTACGGTCGTAATTCTGCCCGTAATTAGCATCGGGGGGCAGAATGTTCTCGGTCTCGGCAGTGAAATTACGGTCGTAATTCTGCCCGTAATTGCCCCTAGACTTTTAAATTTCGGAAGAAGACCGTAATCTCTCTCTCTCTCCTCATTTTTCTGGTCGACCTCTCTCTCTCCTCTTCACCGAAAATCGCCCTCCCTCCTTCTCCGGTGGTTTTCCGACCATAACTCCCTCACCGGAGCTCCAAATAAAAATCTGAGACCACTCCCGTGCTCCTTTCGTCGGCGCGCACAAGCCTATACCAGTGGGCTCGAGTTTGGCGGTGGTTTGGGTCGCCGGAAAATCGCGACTCTTCGGTGTTCTTCTAGCCCGATCTCCCTCCTCCGACCTCCAATCGAAAAACATCGACCACCACTGTATTCCTGGCATCCGGGCCCTCATTCCCCAAAGTTTTGGGTCAGTTTGGTGATGGTGAAGTCGCCAGCGACGAAACTTCAGCGAGCCTCCTGGCGAGTTTCCCGGCCATTGTCGTGGAGTCTCACTCTTCC